AAATGATTAATTTGTTAATTTTCGTTAAAAAATGCAATAAATCATCAAATTAATGATGGAGCAATGCGAAGCAATTAAGGAGCAATCGTTTTATGTTATATTATGTTTGAATATTCTCGCCGTTGGCTTCTAAGCCATATAGTTCCGATAGGCGGCCGATAGGTGGCGACGGCATCGCTTGGAAAATGATTAATTTGTTAATTTTCGATAAAAAATGCAATAAATCATGAAAATAATGATGGAGCAATATGGAGCAATTAAGGAGCAATCGTTTTATGCTGGATATAGTTACAGAAAACTATTGGAAATATGTTTTTGAGTGAAAATGATAAATTTTTCAAATTGAAAAACTGAAAAGTAATTATGCATTACATCTTTTGTTCCCTTATCAATTTTTCCCTTGTTTTTAAGAGGATGCCGGATCGTCCTGTTTTACCGGTCATAATAATTATACTTTGCAGACCGAAATTTTTCTATTGGTTACATGAAATGAGTAATCCTTTTCCACGATTTAAGTACACATCTAAACAAAAATGAGATTTCACGAGTTTATGTCAAAAACGAAGAAAAGTTAAAAAATAACAGTTTTTTTACCGGCTTCTTGCGTCAGGTCATAACAATATTTGCTTAATATAAAAGTTTTGCAGTTTGTATGTACAAAATAAGAAACGTTCACTTATTTATGGTCGGTAAAACAGGACGGTCCGGCATCCTCTTAATACTTTGCTCAAAAAATTAAAAATTTTTATTATTTTACAGTTGTCGATAATAAACCTATCTTGTCTGTGTTTCAATTAATGCTTTTGGAACATATAGTTATGTGTCGGCTTGTATTGGGAAATAAAAGCGTGGCTCTCGCGGAAATTTCTCAAGCTTGTCAGTTTTGCAGGCGACAGCCTAAATTACTTCAAGGCCATAGATCACAATTACATGCATTATTAGGTTTATATGCAATGTCTATGAATTGTATGGAAGCTGCAGAGGCTCATTTTACTGCTATACTCAGAGTAAGAAGAAACTATGTGTTATTTATCTTTAATAAATTATACAATAATTTGTAAATTCTTATCATATTTAAAATTGATATTTATTATTTTGATTGTTGTTGATTTGACAACTTAATTTAAATTAATTGATAAAGTATTTATATCTGTATTAAATATCGCATTGTAAAAGAAATTATTTTACCTTTTTTCCAGACGTCACAAGAGAGGGAATTCTGGACATTCGCGAAATTTAAAAAAAAATACTTAAACTATTTGTCTTTAATTCTTATTTATCTTATTGTTAGTAATTATACACTATATTCCATATATTTATTAAACTTAAAGTATATATTATATATATTATTAAATATTAAAAATAAAGTAATCGCCTAGCATTTAATGAATGCCAAATCTATATAAAATATAAAATTCTTATTTTATGTATTTTTATTTTTTTTATATTGTTTATATTGTTTAATAAATAGATTTTTATTTATATATTTTTGGCATTCATTAAACGCTAGACGGTTACTTTTTTTTAATATTTAATGATATATATATATATAATATATAGTTTAAGTTTAATTACTAACAATAGTTAACAATAGTTACCTAACCTAACAATAAGATAAATAAAAGCTTATACACATATAAATCTATGTCAAATAAATACTTGTAACGATATATATATATACACA